CTACTTGATGGTCGTCTTACTCAATTACATACATTTATTGCCAATCTTGATTACATATATGATCCAGTATTGATGAGAGTTAACCCATCAAAAATCAGAAAGATTTCATCAAACATCAAAATTAATACGGTAAAAAGCTACGTAATTACGTAGATTGAAATTCCTATAGAAGGTTGCTCTTTCATCGTCTAGTCATTGATTTCGTCGAGTAAATACGAAAATTAACTGTTACCTATTTTTTTACTTAACTCACCCTGCAAAAAAGTCAAACTCTATTAGTCCGTCTTGGTGACTGCCGAACCAAGGAAATTTTTTTTGTTAGAGAAATCAATGTCTCAACTACAAATTTTGTACGAGACATATTTTTCCAAAACGAACCTGAAACAGGAAAAGCCAAAAAACGAACACCTATAAAACGTTCTTGCAACTACATTATTGGCAGCATCATTGTCTATTTTCTGATGGTGTATTGGAACTTAAATTTACTCTTGATATTTGTATCAAATAAAGATTTTTCTGAAGAAGTCTAAGTAATTTGATCGGTTTACAACGATAAAATATATCTTTTCAATTGTTTTCCTTCGGCTTAAATTTTACGATGAAACATATTTCGGCCAAGTAACGCAAAAAGAATTCAGTTCATGGATGAGTTTTCGAGTTGACGGCTGATATTCTAATATACTGATGAATCTTGCGAAAGGATCAATTTTTACAAAAGTTTCATGTTGCAAACTATTTTGAAATATGATATCAAAAATAGATCCAAAAAATTTTTACCAAAGTTGATATCAATTGAGTTTTCGATGGGCTACATTTTCGAGTCTTTTTGTTTATTCAAATTTGATCGATTGACCTAGTGAAATATAGATTTTTGAAGTTGCAAAAATATTGCAAGAGCTTTTTACAGAGGTGTTGGTTTGTGGCTTTTCATCTGTTCCAGGTTCGTTCTGGAAGAATATGTATAATACAAAATCGGTAGTTCAGACATTGCTGTTTTCAACAGAAAACAAAATTCGTTGCTTTGTAAATCATTAAGACGATCTAACAGAGTCTGACATTTTTGCCAAGACTGTCGCATCGCATGTGATGTATCTCATTCATTTATATGTATTTAATTACTTTTGAGTCATTTTTCAATATTTAGCTGCTTGGATATTAGTTGTTGCACTTTAATCCTTCAGATAATCCAAAAAAAGAGTAGCTTTTTTTTGAAATGATTTATACAACTTGGATATAAAATAATTTCTATGAATATCAATATTTTTCAGCTATTCTAATATAAAAATCTGATATTTTCAGAAAGTATGGGAATATTTCTGACCCAGGAGTCTTTTACTTAATAATAGAGAAATGATTAATAGACTAGAAGATTAATTGATGAAAAAGAAATCAGTCTCGATCTTGAATACAATTTTGATTTTATAATCTGAGATATCACATCGAGAAACATCTAATTAATTAATTCAATCTATCATTGAGTAAAAGATTAACGTGGTTTTACTGAGTATTTTTTCTATTTTAGCTGTTTTTTTTATAGAGTACTCTACTTAAACTCAAGTGTTTTTCGCTGTATGCATATCTTCCAACAAATGAATTTGACAATGAAGTTGTGCCATTTCTTCGTCGAATGTCACATTTGGAAAAGCTCACATTATCTCTTGGTATTCGTGGTCGAACTTCATTCATTGATGGAACTCACTTAGATAATTGTATACTTAGCCGATTGCCGCATCTGCATACATTTGTCTTCAACATCATTACCGACTTTGTCAGGAGCACCGAACACTTTGAACCATCTGCTGATCATATTCGACGCACGTTCATTCAAAGAGGACATCATGCTGATTGCTATATCGACTGTCATCATAGTAATATGCGCCGATGTCATGTTTATTCGGTTCCATTGAATATGGAATGTATGCGTCATATTTCGCACGGTTTTCCTGGTGGTACGTTCATAAATGTTCGCATTCTGAGTATGCTCGATGACTCTCACCCTTTCGAACATAATTTCTTTGCTCAGATTTCACGCTCATTTCCATTACTTAGTCGTCTAATAGTTAGAAATACAACACCACAAAAGGAGAAACGGTCACACCAGTTATTGAAACTTGAAGAAATATCCTCAGTTATTGAATATTCTCATCTCGTCGAACTTAACTGTATCCATGCACATATCGATTATGTGGAACAGTTTCTTTCTAACGTCAATACATGTCTACCTTGTCTTTGCAAGCTTCATGTTCAATATGAACACTTAGTAACTGTCACAGAAAATTTTACAAGAAATACAACGCGTATGAATTGTGTGAAAGTGAAGCATATTACATTTTATCATGAAGTGGCAATGGCGCGTTCGAAAGACTTTCATCTCTATTTTCCTTTACTATAAATTATATTCTCATGAAATGTAATTATTAGATTTGTTTTGCTATATCAATCAAGTAAATTCAGAATAGCTATTTCTTAAAAATATTCCTATGAATAAACCGAATGCGTATTGTTCTATTCACGTTGACTGAAAAATAACAAGTCCGGATTTATTAAATCGTTTAATGTTTTGAATTTGTTTTTGCATTCTCTAAATCAATACTGTTTTAATTGAAAAGCTATCAGTTTTCTAAATTTTACATGAACGAAAAACGTTTTTTTAAAAAGAAAAACGAGGCGTATTAAATTTACATAAAATCAAATTTCAAAACTAGTTTTAAAACGTGTCACAAGCAGAACAAAAAAAAAGCTCACTCAATAAAGAAGCTAGAGACTTTATCCAAGACAGGTCATTTTATTCCATAAACATATCAAGACAAGCTGCATCAAATGACGTTTGAACGAACTTTCTAACTCACACAATTTCCGAGATAATGAAAAACAAAATGTGTCAAAAACGTCACAGCGTTACATTCGAACAAAACTATTTACGTAACGGCACGTGATAGGCAGCAATAAAAGCTTGATAGATTGCTGTATCTTACATTTGCAACTTAGTTCTGTTTGCATATCAGATTTGTAAATGTCTCAGGGTGACTACTGTTTGTAAGATACGACACGTAGACAGTAATTGAATAATTACTTTTCGAGAATATCATTAACAAAGAAAAGTGTTTTTTTAAAACTTTTTCAATCAACTATACGACGAATTTCGAAGATTTCAATGTATGCAAAGAACATTCATTCGTTATTCTTTCTTGTATGCAACACAACGGCAACATTTGCGTCCGCAGCTTGAATAAATATGCATCATTTAGGAAATAGGCGGTGGTGAGCAGTGCATGTGATTACATTATCGTGTTTTTTTTCCCCTCAAACTGATACCCATAAAAGTCAAATTTTATTAAACGACCCACAAAATAAAAATACAAATAAATTCTGAATGAAATAAAATATATTTAGAGATGGATAAATTCATTAATTTAGCTCGACAGAGCACGCGTGAATTGTAGCACATTGGTTGTTCAGACATATTGCTTTAGCACACTCAGGTCCTGTGTTACTTCTGCATTTTTCACACCGGTGGTTTACTTTGCAATCACCATCCGTATGACACGTGTTTTTGAGAGGCCAAGAGCACGGATTGATTTGACCACACTTCTTTTCGAGACATACCGGAATTGTACATGCTGGTCCTCTTCCTTCAACACATACCGCACACATCCTACTTGAAACTGAACATTCAGAATCTTTTCCACAGGAACCAGAAACTACGTCCAACATCAAATTGCACGAAATTAGTAGAAGAATAACGAAAATTGAAGATGAAAAATGCATCGTTGCTGCTTTTTTTGTGCAGATTGCTTTTATTACACTGCCTTTTATAGTTCTCTGTTGTGTAATTATACGATTTTGCATTTTTTTCGTTAATACGCATATAAAGCTACTTTTGTACGACGTGGCAGCGGGTGATTTTTCAATCGATACTTGTCACAATGCAAAATATAACAATGCGACAGAGAGGAAAAACATAAAACGAATATGTCACCCATGGGAAAAATTTCGTTACTTTTCAATGCTGACCGCTTTAATGCGTTCCGCAGCTGTTGAATCGGTTAAAAACGCCGCGAGATGATGTACTTTTCGTTTTCATCCTGACATAGTGGCTCCCAAACGCGTTTTGAGTAAATGGGAAAATTGGTTTTACGCCTGCGTTACTATAGGAAACGCCACGAAACAGGTTAAATCGATCAGCATTAACGCGTTTCGCAGTGAATATATCTTAATTTTTTTTATCCCATGGGCATTCGGTGAGGATAAAATACAATATATATCAATACTCATAATCATGTCCAAACGCTCACTGCTGACTAATTCAGGAGATAATAGTTTTCGTTTATTTAATATTTTTAGCAAAATGATGTCACAATAAGAATGAACTTGTAATGCAGGCTGTGGGTGTACTAGAAAGAAAAACGCATTAACGCATCAGCTCAATAAAAATTCAGTAAAGGATCCTTTTCTTAGGACGATACGGCGAGTTATAGTTGCTTCGAAGGATACATATTCGACGTGGAATATTGACCTATGTTTTGGATCAACCATCTATGTAATTGTACTGAGTAATCTGATCAGTGTACTTATGTTTATTGCTCTAGCGGAAATACAAAAGTGGAGAGGACATTCAATTACAAGAGTTTATTTGGTATGTTAAAAAGTAGACGACACTTAGTGCAAATAAAAGATTCAATTAAAGTGGAACAGGTAACAATTTAAGATCTTTCTACAAGTGTTACCATCGTCCATAGTGGTATAGTAGTGCTGGCTAGTTTAACCAATGTATCAAAGTAATCTTTTTGTTTGTCTGATTGATCAATTTGTGGACTATTTTGATTATTAGCTTGTTGTTGTTGTTACTATGTCAACAGCTGTGTTAACTGTTGTTGTGCTTGTATCTGCTGAAATATTTGTTTTTTTTGATTAAGAAGAGCTTGTGTAACTACTGAGAGACTTTGTGTAACGACTGAAAGATTTTGCTGTTGTTCTTGTTGAGAGCGAATAATGACTTCTTATTTCAGATCTTGTTTTGTAGGATATTTCCGAATCGATTCGTAGAATTTTTCTAACTGTTGAGCAGTATTATCAGCATTATTGTTATCATCATTGAAATGTTCGTTTCGAAATAGTTCTAAAGTATCAGGAGAAATCTCTTGGCAAAGTCGTTCCATCAGTTTAGATAATTCATTCTTTGTGAGATGTCCCAATTGAAGATGGTTCTTCTGGATTGAGTTTTTATAATCGGAAATTATTTTATTAATACGATCACTCATATCGAGCGTGTTCTCATTTGTTGTATTGAGCGAATTGATATTTATTTCAGTTGAAGACGCCGGGGCTATATTTAGAAAAAAATTACAAATATGATTCTTCAAAAGAACAAGCAGTTGTTACTATTCGTTGTTTGATTTTCTATTTCATTCATGCTTTCAATTTCTGCCAATAGATCACGCAATGACGTATCAAAATCTTTTTGCGGAAAAAACTCTATATATTTTCTATCAGTTTCAATCATTGCCAAGTCGCTACTTGGTTTGAAATCTTTTTCCATATGACAAGGAATGCAAGGGATTTTGTTTTGCACAGCATGCTTAGCTTCTAAATAGATTCGCTCATTAGTTAGAACGAATACAATAGTTCAGTGATTTTGATTTACCCATCATGCAATAATGACTGTCTTGGTATTCGTGATTTGTGAGCAGAAGAACAATAAAACAATTTTCAACTGTCTTTGTCATATTACCTATTATGCTACCATGTAAACATCGGGTGTTTCGCCACACCTTGTTTCCTTCGTCCTGTTCGATAAAACATTGGATTGCATATTTATAAATTAGTTATCTGTTACCCAGAGATGGGCGAGTCCGAGTCATGACTCGGACTCGAGTCGACTCGAGTCGCATTTTTTTAATGGCTCGGACTTGACTCGGACTCGAAAATTAGTAGGTGCTGACTCGACTGTGTGACTCGAGTCAGCCTTTCAAAAAAACTTTCATCTGGTTTTTTTTTAAATCCGGAATTTTCAGTATGAACTGTCAGTGTATATATACTTTATTACGATAAAATAAATAGAAAAATTCTATTGCATCGTACATATTCGCTATCATTTTGTTCATTGTGTATCCATTATTGATTCTGAATCAAATTAGTTGTTTTACAGACATACAGACATGCGCACGCTATTCAACAACTGCTTTGATTGTATAACTGACTGATCATACATTAATTGCTTTTGCTATACATTAATTTTCTTGATCTTCGGATACAAAATTATGATCATGAAAGAGAGACTGTGTATCATATAAAAACATCGGAAGAGAAATTTGAAAATATCACTAATCGAAAATTTTGATAATCGACGGTACATATCTTCTTAATTAAAAATATTGTTGAACAAAAAAGCATCTTAAGAGAGATATAAATTTGTTAAATCAAGTGTAGTTTCACAATGTCAAATCCTAGTAGTTTATCAACGGCGCAAAAGTGCTTAGTTTCACAAGATGACGTAAACGAATCAAAGCAATCTGTTTTAAAAAAGTTTTTTATCAATATCAATGCAGAAGCAAAAAAAACAAATTCGTGGCACGGTAAATGTTCAATATGTTCACAAGATGTTACTGATAAATATGGCACCACATCTAATTTTGTACGGCATATGAAGAGAAAACATAATATTGTATATGAAGAATGGTTAGTTAAAAAGAATGTGAACACTGATATGAAACAGCGAACACTTGATGATATGATTAAAGAAAAAACAAGCAAATATTTATCAACTGATTTCCGACAAGTTAAGTTAACTGAATCAATAGTAAAAGATTTAATAATTGAATGCGGTTTGCCAATATCATTGGTTGATCAAGATGGTTTTAAAAGTTTTATGGCTGCGGTGGATCCAATGTATTCACTTTTAAGTCGTCGACAAATAACTCGTGATAAACTTCCAAAATTACATGATAGAATGATTATGAAATTAAAAGCATTATGCAATAATGCTGAATATGTTTCAGTGACTTTAGATGTATGGACTGACAGACGCTTACGTTCTTACATTGGTATTACATTGCACACATTTGTTGGTGATGATTAAAAATCGCATTTATTATCATTTGCACCATTAAAAGGCCATCACACCGCTGATGTATTATTGGCTGAATTTGAAAAAGTGATTAATTATTATCATATTGAGAAAAAATTAGTACGTTTGATTACCGATAATGCATCCAACAATTTGAAAGCGTTTAATCATATTTTACTGCCAGGTTTTGAATCTTATTTTGAAAATGATGTATATGATAATGAAGAATATGATTTAACACAACATGAGAATGATGATTGTGAAGAAATTTCCGATGATAATTCAGATGATCAATTTCAATTAGTACCATTAGATGAAGAAATTATTCAGTGTGTTAGTGAAAATTTAGAACTATTACGTTTACCATGTTTTGCCCACACATTGCAGCTAGTTGTCAATGATGGTATCAAACATGCAGCTAATGCAACTGCTGCCTTAACAAAAGTTTCGAAAATTGCAAAATTTAGTCACAGCAGCACTTTATTTGCCGAAGAATTAGAAAATTTAAAAAAAACTATACCACGAGCAACCCAATGTCGTTGGAATAGCCAATTTCTGACCGTTGTTGCTGTTTCAGATATACCATTAAAAACACTTAATGATATTTTAATTAAATTAGATAAAAAAGAATTGTGTATTACAGAAAAAAACAAAGAAGTTCTGGATGAATTTATGACGTTACTATACTTATTTAATGAAGCAACAGTTTTAATTCAAGCTGATCAAACAGTTACTATTAGTATGGTGGGACCTATTCTGCTTAATTTATTAAGCGATTTGGAACTGGAAAGAAAAAAATCTGAACGTGTGTATTTAATGGGTGATGCATTAATTTCTTCATTAAAAACACGTTTTGGTGGTTTTTATAAACATTTCTCCATTGATACCGATAATTGTAAAGTCAAAATTAATACAAATGCCAATACATCATGCTTATATGGTGATCCAATTTTTTTAATGAGTGCAGTTATAGATGGTCGTTTTAAGTTTCAATGGATCAATGATTGTACTTTATTATCTGATTTAACTAAAACCAATATTATTTCCACTATTAAACAATGTCTTATTGAAGCATCAATAAAACTTAATTCACAAAATAAACTTGATAATGCTGATGTTCAGATTATAACTGAAGAAGCTAGAAGCAACGATTCAAACATACCGTCTTCAGATAAAGAAAAGAAAAAAAGTTTATTTCCAACTTTAGCAAGTGGTTCATTTAAAAAAGCAAAAGTTAGCAATGCAACACCAAAATCGGTTTTAGATGAACTTGACGGTTTTTTAAAAGAAGACAATATGGCTCATAATCTTATTTTTAAAAATGCAAGTTCATATCAATCTCTTTGTCATCTGGCAAGAAAAATTATGTGTGTTCCTGCTACATCAGCACCGATTGAACGAGTGTTTTCGCAAAGTGGTCTTTTGATGAGACCACATCGTTCAAAGTTTTCTCAAGCCAATATTTGCATTTTAACATCTTTGAAATGCAATAAGAGTTTATTGTAAATATCTATATGTATTTGTTTGTTACAAAATTTAACTTATTCTTTTTTGTGTGAAATAATCTTCGTTTTGATGTGTTATGTAATTGTATAAAAGGGAAGAGTTAATTTTATTGTTCTTATTTTCTAGATATTTCTATGATAGCGTATCATTTACTTTATGTATGATTATTCTTTTTTTGTACACGAAAACTTAATAAAACAATCGCTTCATAAGAAACTTGTTTTTACGTTCTTGATAATAATAACGCGAATATAAAAAATTGACAAAAATATTTTGACTCGACTCGACTCGACTCGACAAGGCTCGTGACTTGACTTGACTCGACTCGAAGCCATTGAAAAATGACTCGGACTTGACTTGACTCGAAAAAAGGCTGGACTCGCCCATCTCTGCTGTTACCCGAAGAGTCGTATCAATTTTCTCACTGACCTCGTCGTATGCGCCATGCTTATAACTTATCATAATGTGTCGATTTTTTTGAAGTCTTTGTTGATTATTGACCATACTCGCAAGGAAAAAAGGAGTTCTGAAGAATCTTTTCATGGTTCCGTAGCTCATGCGAAACCATTTCAAGTTCTGTATGACAATACGAAACTATCAACAATTCTGTCTAACAGTACTGAACTTTTGAAGGTTTCGGGAACAGATTCAAACCCATAAAAAGTTCTGTGTTCAAGAATACTGAATCGAAAGGGTTCTGCACAATGATACTGAACCTATTAAGATTCTGTGAAAAAATACCGAACCATAAAGTGTTCCCTAGTCAAAAGTATGGAACCCGACAGGTTCTGTCCCATGATACTGAACCGTTTAAGATTCAGCAGAAAATTGCTGAACCATAAAAGGTTCTGTTTCTGCAATGCTACACCGAAGAAGTTTTGTGCAATAAGACTGAATCTTGAAAGGTTCTGTCAAAAAATGATCTATTCTAAAAACAAATTTTCTACCCAAAAATACTGAAGTGTAAAATATTTTCTCATTTCTGCTCAATTCTTTAGGGTTTCACAGTTCAAACGTGCTGCCATACAAGGCTTTGAGAGACAAAGTATGATGCAAGATATATTTGTTATGAAGTTTTTTATCAAAATGTCGGTAGAAAATATTTTTTCAAATGTAATTTAATGTACATTCAGTAGAACTATTTTATTGCATACTTTCTTCTTTCTTTTACTTCATGATACGTTATTGTGCTCTAATGTTCGACTTTTTCATCGCTTGAGAATGCTTTTTGCACTCAAGTCGTTGAGATGGGGGGAATTTTATTTTCTTCTCAAGTAATTTTAATTTTGTTTTACATTTTCACCTGATTATCATTCCCGGGAAAAGATTGAAACAAACCACCATAGTTTCCTCAACGCCTAGCTAATATATGCTAAATCTGGTAAATAACTATAAAGGCAAATAATGCTATCGTCCATATTTAGTAATCCAACTGCTTTGAGATAAATTACGACTATTCAGACAATTCGACGACTCTAGTGAAGCTCCAATAATATTTTTAAGTATCGTGTGCGTCGGCTATATACGGTTTATTATCATATTATCGTTGTCTATCGTGTTTGTTCTAAAACACTCGTTAAGGTCAACAAAAGAAGCCATTCTATTAAACATGTAACACTATGAAATTATTCAGCCATATCATACGCACGCAATTGATGTGCACACATGTCGTTGAACTTCACATCTTACAAATAAGATAGAGGATTTAATAAAACCCATATGAATCCAAGGATAAAGTCCTAAACATATACTTTCGCGAATACACAGATAAT